TGAGTACTTTAGAGATACAAGGAATTTTCCGTTGACAAGCTCAAGGAGCCCACAGGAAAGGAAGGGGAGGGGGCACAGGGCAGAAACAAAGGAAAATCCTCCCTTCTCAAAATGCAGTCCATTTCATCCTTCCCCTGTTCCCTATAAACCTGGTTTTTGCAGGTGGACTGTGTTTGGCTTTCAGAGGTGCTGAGCACCTCTAATTCTAGTTGAGGACATGCATTCATCTCATTCAGTTCATCCCTCTCAGAAGGACCTGAACACAGGCCCCTCCTCACATCTGCTTTATGAGACCTGATTCAGTGTTATTTTCCTAGTAACACCAGACAAATAAGTAAGAGTCCAGATAAATGCTTTCTCCTGTCTAAAAACATACTCTCCTTGCCACTCTTTGCACTGGCTTGCACCTCAGATAGGGCTAAGGCAATTTCATTTCAATTTCCTTGTCACAACTTTTGCAAAAGCCATTCTCATTTTTCAGCTGCATTACTCTCCTAATGGAAAGCCAAGACAAGATTTTAGCTAGGCACCAGAACTGTACTCAAACCTCTGTCCCACCTGCATTGGAATGTGGATCTTTTACTTGTCCTGTGTTTATACAGCTAACCAGTTCAAGTTTAGTAAGAGCAGTGGCTTCCACATGGGCTTCTACAAGCCAAGTTTTTTAAAAAAGGCTGGTCAGACTCCTCCATCCTCAAAGGTGCTCAAGGTGAGATTGCCTTTGCAATCAAAGATACTTGATTAGTTAGGAAAGCATTGGCCTGCTATAACATTCTCAAAAGCAGGGGCAGAACTGGATTGCCAGCATCTTGGGCTTACTGGAAAACAAACAAAATCTGGGGCTGAGGGTGAATCCAGCCACACCTGAACTTCTTTCTCAGAAGGAGTTTAGAAGGTAAGCAGGTCCTTTCTGCACTTCATGTCTCAATGGGAGGGTCTCCCTGATAAACTTTGTCTGAAGCTCCCATTCTGACCATGACAGCATCATTCAAAAAACTGAACCATTTTTAACAAAGAAAACAAAAGGCTCAAAACCCCTGGCAAATTAAGTGGGTAAAATAAAATCAGACAAGCTTGGTAAAAAAAATAAAATGAGAATAGCTAAACTAATTTAAACCTTCTTCCAGATAGCAGGAATAAAAAGTCTGTGAAGAGAGCTTGCAAAGCCATCTGCTAACCAGGCTGTAAAGGAACCTTTCCAAAGGGACAGTATAATTGCAGAGGATTTGAAGTGACGCTCTCTGGAATGATTTTATTAATGTATACTGCAGACAAATTCAGGGAGATTCACATTGTCTAAATCAGAAAAGGGGAGAGTATACAGCAGAAGTTAGATCCAGAATTATGGCTCAATAGGGAAAATATGTTGCCAATTTTTCACGAGAAGTCTGCGCCTCTGGGGTAAGAGGAAAAGACATTGTCTCTGTAAGCCTAGCATCTGTTACAGACTAATAAGCAGAAAAAATATAATTATGTCACTGTAAAAACCCATAACTGATCCACATCTTAAACACTGCATTTGAAAGAAGGCCCCCAACTCAAAAAAATACTGCATTAGAACAAGAAAAGGTGCAGGAAACACAGCAAGAATGATAAAGTAGAACAGTTTTTGCCTGAGGATCAAGTGAGTTGCCTCTATTCTTCATCATGAGGATGAGAGCATTTATGGAGGATACAGTGTATTGCCAAATGATGCATGAAAATAAAATGTGTACTCATTCAAGTACTGTAAGTAGACTTGTGCCATTCTATAAATCAACAATGCCTCCCAGTTTTGCTTTCAATTGCCTGTAAAGAAAAGCCCAGCTCTGGCAAGTAAATCACGGTTTGCTCCTCTGGCATACAACAGCCATCTCTCAAAGGACTGCATCCTGCACACTCTACCTCCAAGTGTCTCTGCTGGGTTCTGCAACCTCTGAACACGGACATCATACTTTGAAATATTACCCACACTTTTGCCCAGGACAAATTCAAAAGGGGGGCAGAATTTCTTGTGCTGTTCACATGGGGTACATCTAACCATCATGGTAAATAAAACTAACCCACAGCAAAAACACTGCCCACTGGACTGAACAAGGGTATGTGAAAACAAGCAGCAGTTGCCATTTCTGTAAGACCATGATGAATGAGATGTATAGGACAAAAAGGACTTCATCATACTCATTTTTATGGTAGGGATTTAACTCTTCTGCAGTTGTGCATGGACATCCTGGAAATCTGTCTCCATGTATTTGCCTAGCTTGAGAAAACCAAAGACTACATGTGGTAATCAGTGTGAAGCAGAAAGATACAGCTCACTTATTTAATTGTTGTCTCTGCTACAGGATCTTTTTGACATTTTTTGAAAAAAAACCAAGACTACTATGTTATATTATGTGTATCTTTTAGAAAACATTCATCATCACCTCTCTTTCCTTAATAACATGGTTTCTACAGGTTATAAAAAGTTGATTTTAGCTTACCAAGAAGAGATAAGGTAACTGCAGAGATGGTATCAATAGGTGTATTTTTAACTCTGACTGGCCAAATTGAAATTGATGTGAACTCCAATTGACTGGTGCCTTTACAATGACAATAGCAACTATAAAGAAGGTGTTAAAACCAAAATGGAGGGAAAGAACATGAGACAAGAGAGGCATGAGATTTGAGCAAGATGACACAGGCAATTAGCAGATCGAAAGAACTTAACCTGTAGCTTAAAAACCTAGAATCGCCTCAGTGAACCAACACACCTCTCAATCTTAATTCTTCCATTTCAAAGCAATCCCCTGACAGCACAAAGGGTTTATAGGGATTGTTTGATTTAGGACAAAATGAGATGCAGATGCTCAACAGTCATTTTTCTAACACAAGAGAATGACTGCACTCTATCCAGCACACAGGCACTATCAGTAGAAAAAGCACAGAAACAGCTTACTAGCAATTGAATGAAAACTGCCTGAAATAATTGAAAAGTGGCATGTATAACTTATATGAGGTGAGCATGAAAAATTGAAATAACGTAAGAGAGAGGTTTGGGTTTGTTGCTTGTTTCTATGTTATGTTTCAGCTGTTATATTGCCATTTCTAATCTGACAAAAAGCAAAGCTCAAAAATTAAGTCATACACACTCAGAGCAGCTCAGTCACTGTATTTACAATCATCACAAGGCGAGTCAAGAAAACCCATTGTGATGTACTGCTTCAGACACTGCACCTGTGACTTCCTTTTGTTGAGGTGTAGCACATTAAAATTCTCACAGGTTCAAGATGCAAACACACTTTGAACATACACTGCAAAATGGCAGTCTTGCATTTGCCTCAATTTCTACTCTTCAAAGTACAGGTAAGGATGGACACTTCCTCTCCTGCATCTGCCTTACTGTCTGTTGCTCTAGGGGTTTAGCCAAGGAGAGATGACGTGCAGTTCTGTCAATTCAGTGTAGCTTCAGAACCAAACAGTGTGTCTTTTTGTCTTCAATACTGAGTCCACCAAACAATAGTTTGTATTAATTCAGGTATTGCCCTTTTGCAAGTTCACTACCTTTCAGCAATCGTACCCTCCTACAAAAAAAATTGAAACTTAATGCAGACACAGGAGTAATATAATTAAGTTAGCTTTGACTTGCACCAATACAACCTAAAATATGTTTTCAGCACATTTGTAACAGCTGTATTTGAGCTGCCTTACCAAATGCCAAGGTGAATACTCAGTACTTGAAACTAATACATGAAATGTCCACCAATTCATTGCTCAAAAACCTCTTGGTTAAATTCTTGCAAAAGAGTACTTTGATCTTGTCTTAGGTTGCAAATGCAAGATGTGGCTGGGTGTGTGTATTCTATTGCCATCTGTTAGAAGTGCGGCAGTTACCTTATTTTTATTTACCTTAAAATTTATTTATTTATTTATTTATTTTTTTAAATTTTTTTTTTAATTTATTTACCTTAAAATCTGTTAATTGGGAAGTTTTCTTTATCTCTTCCACTACCAATTCTCCCTCCAGGAAATATCCTGATACTGGGTGATTGAGTCTCACCAAATGACTGATAAAATTACATCATCCCATTGGGAGATGCTTGGCCCAGGGCAAGGAGCCAAGCATTCCTATCTGGATATCATCTGAGACCCCAAATACCACATCAGCCTTTTCCCACAGTATTCCTAGACGAGTACCAGGCCCATCTACATCACCACTGGACTGTCAGAGGAAAACTGCACCCTTCTACAGGGTCGCTGCTCCAACAGAATCAAACCTGTCACTCCAGGAGGACTGCAGCCACCATTCAATTGGATTGCTACCAACTCCGACCCACAGGGCGTCTGGTCATATTCTGACTCTCTGTCAGTGTTTTTTGTATTACTCTTTTTTTTTTTATTCTTTCCTAATAAAGAACTGTTATTCCTACTCTTATTCATTTGCCTCAGAGCCCATTAATTTCAAAATTATAAAAATTCAGAGGGAGGGGGTTTACATTTTCCATTTCAAGAGAGGCTCCTGCCTTCCTTAGCAAACACCTGTCTTTTCAAACCAAGACAGATCTACAGAAATCCACCATCAGCCAAAACCAGAAGTTTGTAACAACAGATGTGTAAAATGTATTTTCAAGGCTTCTTTTTGAACAAATGAAGATGAATCATCATATTATCATAAAAAGCAGTTTTATCACTTTCACATTTACAAATATACACGTTATTACAACAAAAGCTAGAAAAAGACAGTTCTTTAGACAACAACAAAAAATAGATACAGATAACTCAAGTATATATTAAAAGTAATAAAATTATAAGAAAATTAACATTTGCTCCTACTCCACTGTGCATCCCTCTGTAATCCACAAAAAATAGATACAGATAAGTATATATTAAAAGTAATAAAATAATAAGAAAATTAACATTTGCTCCTACTCCACTGTGTATCCCTCTGTAATCACCTTCTTGTTCAGAGATGTGTCAGTAAAAGCGATGGCTGAATAAACTAATTAGATTCATGCAAGAATGACAAGGATACAGCACTTTTAAAAAAGATACAAGATCATACAGATACAGGAGCAGGGTGCTCGTGAATACAGCCGGGACAGCAGTGCAGTGCATCATGAACAAACACATCACATTCCACACAAAATGCATTCTGACACACTTTGCATATGTACACCTGTGTGGGAAGGATAGAAAGACAAGTCAAATTAGCAAAAATTATTATCATAGCACTATAGTAGGGCAACAGTTACATCATTAAGATAATCTAAACAGACTACACTGTTAGCATCAAAGAAACTCAACTGAATTAAAGCTTCTGACAGCAAGTGTATCTGCAGGCTTGAGCTTAGGTCACTGTAAATGCTTCCAAATGGCTGAGAGTGGAAGCTTTTTTTTTAATGCAGCTCCCTAAGAAATTCCTTCCCACACTTCTACAGATTTTGCAGTTTAGAAAGTGTGACTGTTTAACACATAACTCTAGTTAACCATTACATTAACTTTCACAAATATTTTTCTGGTCTTTAGAATATAATGCTAAAGGATCATCTCTATTTCTCACATTCCTCAAAGCAAATTACAATGCCATTCAACATACTTACATTTTGATCTTTCATTTCTCCCTGGCAGCCTTGACAATACCTAAAAGAAATTTTTTTTTATTTTACGTGACTTTATGTGAAAAAAAGAGTCTGTAAATCAATGTTTAAAAAAAGATCTCATACATAGTAACAATTTCTGGCAATTTTTTCACCTAGTCAACTGAACACAGATCATGGAAACTGGAAATATTTCTTAATGCTAAGGTGCCCCACACCACCCAAACACCCAGGATCTCCAGCAGCAAAGAAGCTGTTGCCAGCTGTTCTTACTTTTGTGATAAAAAAGCTATAGGATCCACAAGTACACTCATTATCAGAAGTAGGATTTGCATACCGTTCCCCTTTGTATTCTTCCAGTGGAACTTCCTGAAAGGCATCTAAAGGAAACAAGTGATGGTAAGACCGAGCCAGGTGAGGTGCAGACACTAGTGTAAGACCTGCAAACAGAGAGACACCAAAATTGTTACAAGGGAAGATTTACTGAAAAGCTTTTCTGTATCAAATAAAGTAAGGAAAAATAATATTTTAATTACTCAGTGGTTGAGAGCTAAGAACTTTAAAAAGTAAAATTACTTGTTCCATTGGCCAAACCTGAATTCAGTTTTAAACCCAAACACAAAGAACAAGCAAAATGATCAAATTTCTACTGGAAAGGTTTAACTCGGTTTAACTAAATGTCTTTAGAAAGACATTTACAACACACAGTGGTGAAGTTAGGAAGTTCCTTTTGGCAATGATGGTTCTGCTGTATCACACCACCAGCGATAATGATGCCCTGTTACAAAGCTCTACTACAGATTGCTATACTATTGCCAAAACCATGCTACAGCCCCATTTCAGCTAACACAAGTCTGCTGGTTTTAAACCAGTTAATTTTTGTCACACTGACTATCACGTGGCTATGTTTTGGATTTATGCTGGAAACAGGACTGATTAGGCAAGAATCTTTTTTTTACTGCTGAACAGTGTTTACACACAATCAAGGCCCCTTCTGTTTCTTACTCCACCGGTGAGTAGGCTTGGGGGTGCACAAGGCATTAGGAGGGGATACAGTCACGATTGCAGTCAACAGTGCAGCAGGAGAACAAAGGCATATCCCACACCATGTGGCATCATGCACAGCCTATAAAGCTGGGTGGAGAAGGTGGAAAGGGGAGAATGTTTGGGATGATGGCATTTACTTTCTCAAGTAACTTTTACCCATGACGGGAGTCCTGCTTTCCTGGAGATTCTGCTGATGGGAAGTGGTGAATCAATTACTTTGCTTGTCTTGTGTGCACAGCCTTTGCTGTAACTTTTCAATTGCCTTTAACACCACCTCTGAGTTTTCTCATTTTTACTCTTCTGATTCTCTCCCCCGTCTCACCAGTGTGTGGGAGTGCGTGGGGCTGAGTTGCCAGCTCGGATAAGACCATGAGAACAGATGGGGCATGGGCTGGCACAAATGTCTCACTCCCTCCCTCACTCCCTCACACTGTAAATGTCTAAACTGTTGTTCTCCTGATCACTGCATTTGTGGAGAATCCACTGCAGATACACATGATTTCTCCAGTTACACTATACGCCTGCTGGAATGAAACTCATGGTTTCACTGGTAGGAAAAACTTGAAATTAAACTAGGATAAAGTGACCCAAACCCACAATTATTTAATCCTCTAGCCAAATATACACATCCTGGTAATACCTCCTGTGCTTCAGTCATAAGCCTGTGGAAGCTAGGAGAACAGTACCCCCTCACAATATTAATATTATAAACCACACTAATCCTCCCTCCCACCCTCACTAAGAGCAATGGAGGCAGGCATCATTGGTTGCACAGTGCATTAGCATTTGCAAGACCAAAGGGCTCCTGTTTATAACTCTCCAGCCAGCCCTTGGTTCAACTTGGAAATCTTTCACCCACATACTCATGGAGAGGAGAGTACTTCTGTCCTCCTGCTCCAAAGCACTCTATTTTCACGGGCTCGCACTGAGGTCTCTGAAACATGGGTGTGTTTAGTTAAATGAGGATTCTTGAGAAGTTACCATTCCCATGTGCATCTCTCTTCCCCACTTTGCCTTAGGTATATTCCTTATACCAAGGAATATCACAAAGCTTTACTGTTACAGGTATAGTCCTGAGAGACACTTGTACAAAGCTGACATCCCAGATCACAGAAATGCAGGACTCTTTAAGCAGAGCTGGCTTTTAATTAGTAAGTATAGCTGAATTTTTCTTCCCCTTAACTCTCTAACCATGAACTGCTGATTCATCTGCTCATCTCTTGTTGTGACTTACCACAGATTTTGCATTCCACAGGAAGCTCACAGTATTTGGCTCTGCACTGAGGACAAAAATATCCACCTAGTGTAAGACCTGGGTCACTGTTATTTTCCAGTTGCCTACAGTAGAAAGAAACAATCCAGTACTTAAGAAATAATACCATGCTACTACATAAGTAAAAATAACGTTGTTTTCACATCAAATAATTTAAAAAGCTTCATTAAACTGCATGTAACAGTTTAATGGGTAAGTGTCAGAAAACAATTGATACAGACAGATACCAGTGACCACATTTTCCCACAGGAACCAAACACCAAATGTTTCCATATAAAGGAGCCAATCTTTAAAAATAAAGAAATGAGCAATAACTGCATGCTTGTTTCTTTTTAGACACAAAAATATTCTATTGCCTCTAAGATGCACATAGTAATTATTCTTTCAAATAGCACAAGCTGTGAGACACTGTTTCATTCTGAAATTCAGACTCCCCTATCACCTGGAAAACAATTATTCTTTTCACTGAGAAGTGCACAGTCACGAAATGAGGCCTCTATTTTAAACTTCCCTTTAAAATCATGTTAAGAAATAAATTAACAATACTTTATTCAGATAATACCCTTCCATCCTCATAGGTATCTTTTATAATGACAGTAGTAATTAAATAATGAGCTGCAAGTAGTTACTTTAACACCTTGTAGCACCTGTGTGAAGCAATCACTGTGTAACAGAACTAAGTACCATTTACTACCTAAAAAAAACTTAAATGCAAATTTTAGAACACATATTTAACAGAGGATACTGTTAATACTGGAGCTACCAATGGAAATAAATGTCTGCTGAGAAGCCACAATACATGGCTTACTCTTTTTTTCAGAATATTTTGCAATACTTTCATTGTCAAGCAGATTTTCTAAATGTGACTAGTTAATACTGAATTCTTATCAGCTCATTGAATTCTAATCCATGCTACTTACGCCATGCTAAAGGAAGGCTTTGCATCTTGATCAGACAGAGAAGCAATAGTATGCTGAGGAAAACCTGAAGAGAAAAACATCCCATAATAAAAATTTTAAACATGCAATAATGTGTCAGTTTCTTACTTCAATGAAGAAGTTCAAAGATCATTCTAGACATTCAGGCCTATCTCTTTCCCATTTGTTATTACAAGAGCACTGATACACTCTTGCTAGTATCAAATTCTTCCCCCAAAGGTCTCTACCTACACGCACACCTCCCTGACTTCAGTTCCCCCTAACTGAAAAAATGTCTTTGCCATAGACTTTGTGTTAACTGAAGTGCACTGGAACTCCATTTTAGAAGAACAGTTAAAAAGTACAATATGTGAAATGGTAAGAAGGCAGAATGAACAGCATACAAATGTTCACTTACACAACAGTTTCTAATTAAGGGGAAATACTTTTATATGCATCCATCCAGCCTACATTCACCTTCTAAGTGCAATATATGACAAATGAGACTACAGGACTTTTGGAGACTGGTATCTTTCTTTCTTTTTTTCTATCATTTATTTTTTACAGATGATAACAGGTGAGAAGTTGGTTTTTCAAACTACTGCTCAGGCTCTACCTACGAGAAGTAAACTTTTTCATTATCTATATCTAGACATAAAAATACATACATTCTTATATATGAAAAGGGTGGATGAAAGTGAGAACCCAATGCTCTACTTTGTAGCATTGGAGTTCCTATTCTGGTGTAACTCCAAGCTTAAATTTATTGAGAAACAGATCAAGAAAAGAAAAGATAATCTGTTTCTTGAAAGAACACTCAAGAAGCTGCTAATAAACATGTACTACCTATGGTTCTTAAATCAATTAATAGTTGTAACAGTTACTTTCTGCAGGGAAAAAAGCAGAGGGAGAAATAATAGTTTTTCATCCTTCATTTCTAAGTATTAAATTTATAACAAATACTGTACCATCAACATTGTTCCACTTAACTGCTTCCAAATTCTGTTCAGTAATTTGTCTTACTTAATACACTTCATCTAAAAACTGACTATTCTGCAGGAATAACATCAATAAAAGTGATATTTATCTAGCAAAATAAAAGTTAAAACAAAAAAGTATTGCACAATGTGTTTATTACGCATCTTATTATCTGTATTTCCTTAACACAGAAGAGGCAAATAAAGAAAAAGACAAAATCTCACGCTAGGAGTTTGACAAAACCATATCCTACCCATTCGAATAAGGGAACACTCAGAAGTTGAACTGGCAGGTGGGGGACTGACATGGTGCATCAGCAGCTCCTTGTAATGACTTTCATCCAAAATAACGTGGTATGTTCCTGTCACAAACAAAGAGATGCCTTACTGTCAGGTTATGAGTGTAAAAAAAAACCCAGACATATACTCCAAATGACAGAAAACAACTTAGGTAGAAAACACAATTTATCCAAATCTGTTCCTAAAAAGCAGCCCTGTTAATGCTACAGTAAATGACAAGTTTTAAAACTAGTAATAACAGAATGTTAAATTAGATATGAAGGCACAGATCTTTTTCTCCAACATTACACTGTAGTAATGATACTGTAAGTGTTACCACTGTAGCAATGGATATTAACATGTTACACTGATGAAGTTCCACATCACATACCTTTATATATGAAACAAAAGGTTTGAAAATATATGTATCTCTTCTCTCTAGAGAAGAATACAGCTGCAGCTACCGGCTGGTAGTAATTTCACTTACTACTGTATATTTTGTAGGTTTGGGCAACTCTTTAATTTTCTGGCAGCACACCAGAAAACATTTATCCTTAAAAATGTCAAAATGCAGTAACAAATATTACTTAATTTTGATTTTAAACTTATGTTAGTAATATAATTACTGAACTTCAGATACATACCACCAGTTTCTCGGGCAAGTACTGTACAAACTCGAACTTCAGCACTTAGGCCGATGACAGATACTCTGATCTTTACTGCTTTTAAACACTTAAAATAGAGAAAAAAAAGCACACTCAATTCATGTGCAGAACAAGAAACAGTAAAAAGGTTCTAAGTCTTAAACAAAAATTAATGGGTGATGACACTGCTACTGCCTGTTTTTCCTACAGCAGCTTGAATGTTCAATGCAGTAGTCGAACTTTAGTTCTGTACCTTAATTAGATCATAGATGTTGGCTGGATCACATGTCGTCAGACTGCTGAGGACCACCAAAACCTCTCTGCTCGTATGTCCTGGCATGTGCCTGAGGAAAGCACACAGTTAATTTACTTATGCACACTAAGCTATTTGTATGATAACATCTCCAAGGACCTTAATGTGTTGAAGTCAAAAGATGACATGATATGAAGTCCTCTACAAACTGTGATAACATCCTTGTCTAAGCCCTAGATTTTCACCTTCTGAAAGCCAAACTTTTCCAATATCTAAAATACAGTATTTAATTGTGTAGTTGTTACCTGATTATTTGCTGATATGAATCCTTTGTACCTTAGCCATACTCACAGGTAAAATTCATCCTCAAACTAGCACACTAGTACGTCTTCCTGGGTTCTTAAAAAGCTCTAATCAGTTTTTAAGTGTAAATCCATTACTTTTAATTACTTCTGGTTCTTAGGTGAAAACTCTCTTCCTGCTCATAATTAAATAGCTTTTCATGACACTGATTATCCACTTTGTTCAGTCAGCGTCTTTAGCTGTAATTCTTTATTCAGTCTTCCATAAACTGGGATACATTTCAATACCTCACATTGCAAAAAAGTGCTCTGAATCTATTCTACCTGAAAATTGATCTTTCTAAAGTATGCCAAAACTCTCACAAGATTATTGCGACACAATACTGTTTCCTTTCCTGTTCTCTTACATTATTAACCCTTAACTATGTCCTCTCTTATACCACAACCCTTGAGTAAAAAATAATTGCAGTGTCTTTCATGACAATATCTACATACCATCATCAACTTGGTTTTCAAATCTCATTTCTGTAAGAAGCACACCCCTAAATACAAACATCTAGTGGTAGAAAATAAACTTCTGCACTACTAGAGTATTTTACTTAATGATTTGTAAGAGGATATAAAGACACCTTTTAAAGACTCAAGTCAGCATGATGCAAGATGCTACTTAGAAAAAATTCTGTCTCTGCCCCTCTAAAGTCACAATCACAAAGAAAATACAAAACCTCCTTGAATATACTAACTTTAAAGTCTGCATGGCCAAATTTAGGGAATTATACAGAGAAGGCTCTCCACTGCAATTCATATCCACCGCTTTCTTCAGAGCAGTTACATGCTTTTTTGAGTTTCCTGTAAGTGAAAAAATGCAATCAATTTAACTGATACAACATGTTAAAGAACAGAAATATATTAAGTGCATACGTAATGAAATGTACTTGTACAATAACAGGGACTGGTTTCAGAGTGGAACGGATCTGTATTTTTCGTTAGAAAAAAATTGGTATTTTGATCAGAATGCAGAAAAGAGTAAAAAAGACTTTTACTCTATGGGCACTCAGATGCTAGAAAGTTTAGAAGCCAAAAAGAGTAAAATCACTGTTGGGTATCATTATGCACTCAACATGAGTGTGACATGTCCCACAAACAGAAAAATCACTGTTATCCTCAAATCATTGTTCAAAGATTGACTGATCCTCAATCTCCTAATTGAAACCTGCTGAAGCCACAGAGACTGGCGTAACAGCAGGCAGGAACCAAACAAACCTTGACTTCTTAACATCTGATCAGATCTCACAAAAAACACAGATGTTGTAACATACAAAATTAACAAACAGGGTAGAAAATTAACTATAGGGAAATCAGAACAAATCTGAGTTGCATTCTGGTTGAGACTTGATCGCAAACAAGCACACAATGACAATTCTGGAGCAAAGCAGATCAAAATGTAGATTATGTTTTCAAACAACTTACAATAATTTATCTTTTAAATTAAAACTCATTATGATAACTTCATTTTCAGCAGTGTATCAGGCAGAACATAGAACACCAATGAAAAGGATAAAAACATCTGCAATTTAAGAAAAGAATACTACTTCCCTACCTGAGAGTTCCGTCATTTTTTCAGCTCTTTTACTTTTGGTTACAATTAAGCCAATCTGAAAAAGGGGGAAAAAAGACCAAACTTTTATTAGAAAGTTTTACAATGAGTTTATTTAGAATGTTACTATATTTTTTATGTCTTTATGGACCAGAATTTTTTAACCGTACAAGTCTATAAAAAGTTTTACTTCAAGTGTAACAACAGCACACAACATGATGCATCAGTTTATAAACACTGCTGTATTTTCATTACTACTGCCAAAAGGTACAAAAAGAAATCGTCTAAAATTCTAATTGCAGAAACATGCAGAAACAAGCATCACTAGACTGATGAATAAAGGATGGGAAGGTACACATAAATTGAAGTTTACTTTGTAGTGTTATAACCAAAACTACCTTCTAAAACAGTTTTCTATTATTTGTTTCTTGCTTGGTTGTACATACCTGACTAATAGGATTCTGGTCAAAGTACTCTTCAACAAAATATTCCAGTAACTATAAAGAAAAGTTAAGGCAATTAAAAACTAATTTTTAATTAATTAATCAATTAATTTAAAACATACTTATTTATGTTTAATTAATTTAAAACATACTTATTACACATGCATGAAGTAGATGCAAAACACCTAGTATGACTAAAAAGCAAAACAAAGTAGTTGGATAACGCAAAAATGGGGAATGAGCCTTTTCTTTCCATTCTTCTTTCACACTATCCTTCCCCCATCATCCCAAGTAAGCAATTAAATGAGATTTCAGAAACTACACCCCCCCCTTATTTTACTCATGTCCTATGTTGAAGTTCTAGATTCCTGCTGGTTCAAATGGAGGTTTTCAATACACCAAAAAGCACTACTCTGTACAAAACCATCAAAATCCAGGATTTCATGCTCGAGTATTGTTGGGGAAGACCATACAGAACACAAGGTACACAGTTCAAGTCCCCCACAATCTGAAACAGCAATCAATTCAACTCTCATCTAGCATCCTTTCAAATAAGAATTCATTAAAAAACCCAACTGTAAGAAAAACAAAATACAAACCAATTCTAGATGTGTGATGAGAGCATGTCGTCCCCTTAATTTGGGAAACACTTAATTTCCACATAGTTTCCAAATGTGTCTTCCCATAACGCACCCGTGCAAAGTGTTTTTACTGTACAGAAGTACATGTGCACAATGCCACACAGATTTTACTATTCAAAAAACAGGAAAGTGATAGGCAGAAACAAGGAAACGAATGCAGGGATGAGAGATGAGGCTATGCAGATACAGGAGACTGCAATTCTTTGAAACTCAAAACATAAGCAGTTTATAGAGAGACGGTGGCTCAGTAAGACAAAAAGTTTAGTGCAGGAATACCTTCAGAGTGCAAGTAAGTCTGTTCGGTTTTAAGTCTTGGTCCTCCATCGTCCTTGATCCATCAACAACCACGTAAAGGTGACGCATCTGCATGTCCACCATATGTGAAAATCACTCTCAGAATACGCATTGAAATGAATTCATTATTCCATTTACTTTAAAAAGCCACTACTTCCTCCCTCTAACAGGGAAGATTCAGGAGATTCAGAGGTGCAATTAACAGCAACTGAAAAGTAACAAATTCTTCCACTTTTTTCTTAAAATGAAAAAAAAAACAAAAAACCCCTCTCTTGAAAAATGCACACTGCTCTTCTCCTCTTATCATTCTCATGACAAGCCACAGAACACGCATAGCTTGAGCATTCATGTCTTCATCTGAAGAGCTCAGTATTGTACAAAGCAACGTGGTTACTTACAACCCGTTTCCATCACGTCCATTTTTCACATGAAGAGAAATGGACAGTGTGAGCACTGCCAAACACACCCTGTGTGCCAAACCTCCAACCCTGAACAGCCATGCTGCACGTACACACTGCCAACCAACAAAGAGTGCTTTAAAAAAGCCAGTAAATAACAGCAGAAACCACAAGGTTTGGCATGAGGAATGCTAGGCCAGGAGAAATGTATTTCAGATCTGGCACACCACCTCTAGCCAAACGGTTTTGGACTAAGGACAGAAGAGGGTAAGGTGTTAACATACCATTCCAAGCCGAACTTGTCCATGGTGCTCATAGAGTCTAACAAAACACAGAAGGATTTAAGTCAAATTCAAATGAGTGAATGGCTCCTAAAACAAAAGTCCAAACAAATCCTATACTAGACTTCTGGCTAAAATGTAGAAGCAACAAACTGCAGACACTTATTCATGCTGAAAAACTCCACAGCTCAATCACAGATTTCAAAACTCTCAGAAAATAAATACGAACTATTTCTTACTACCAAGTTTGATGAAGCTTTAAAATTCTATCAAATGTTGACAAATCAAGTTCTAAAATAACTTGAAATAACACAAAACTTAGGATTTTTTTCTAGCCATTTTTCTGAAATTTGAAAGAGAAATCTGTAGCCCTGATACCAGAAGGTAGATTCTGTTGACAGGATAGGAGACAGGACAAGGAGCAATGTTTTTAACTAAAAGAGGGTTGATTTAGATTGGAGATAAACATGTGTTTACAATGAGGGTAGTGAGGCATGGAGCAGGTTGTCCTGAGAAGCTGTGGATGCCCCATCCCTGGGAAAGCTCAAGGCCGGTTTGGACAGGGCTCTGAGCAATCTGGTCCACTGAAAGGTGTCCCTGCTTGTGGCAGGCTGGAGTGAGATGATCTTTAAGGTCCCTTCCAACCTAAACTATCCTGTGATTCTTTGATTTGTATATTAAAAAAAAAAAAAAAAAAAAAAACGTGGCAGGTTGGGGTGAGACGATCTTTAAGGTCCCTTCCAACCTAAACTATCCTGATTCTCTGACTTGTATATTAAAAAAAAAAAAAAATAAAATGGAAGATTCCTCTAAGCTGTGCAGCTGCAGTGCTCTGTTGCATTTCATCAGATCAAGACCTGTAGCTTGCAAACACATGGGATTCCTCTAAGCTGTGCAGATTGCAGCTGCAGTGCTCTGCAGTGTTTCATCAGATCAAGACCTGTAGCTTGCAAACACATGGGATGCACAGCTTGTAAGCATTCAGTGTTAGAAGATAAAATTTAATTTTTCACCATTTTTTCTGGCATACACCTGCCCCTCTGAAGGAGAAAGAACATAAAAACATCCTGCAGGCATGCCTTATGGTTAATTCACCCACAGGACCCAGGCTCAGGATGATCAAGCCATTATAAGTGACCAAGTCAGTGCTATTAGCAGGCTCGTGGCCACACCACATACCTTTTCCTCTTTGCCTTGAAGAGAATGTCCTCGATGGTTGCCTTCAACGACCCGGATTCGTCTTCCTTAAGAATTTCCCTACGCAGAACAGACTGTTAGGTGGGCAGAGGGGAGGTTTTTCCTCCTCTTTCGCCAGAAAGGAGAGAAAGGTGAGGGGAGAAAAGCATACCATGTCCTTTCATAGCCTCCTTCCCAGCGCTTGGTCCGCTCGGGCTCGTCATCCATCTCCGCGGCGGCGGAGGGGAGAGCAGGGCAGATGCGGGGCGCTGAGGGACTACCAGGGCAGCTCGGGAGCGACGAGGGGGACTGCGGGAAGAACAGCGGGGCGGAGAGGCGCTCTGAGACGAGCCGAGGGACACTGGAGAGTGCGAAGGGCCTAAGGGCAGCCGAGGGCAGCCGAGGAGGGCTGAGTAGAGCCGCAGGACACGGACCCGGACACGGACCCCGAGCCGCGGCCGCAGCCAGGCCCCGACACGTTGGCGCCCTCCCTCTTCCGCCTCGGTGCGCCGCCAAACCCTCCCGGCCGCCGCCCGGGCCGCGGAGCGACCGTTCCGGGGAGGTTCCGTGGTGTTTTCCACAGCATCATCAAAACCCTCCAAGCGCGGCCATGGAGAGGACGAGCGCCTAGGGAAGGCGCCTCACGGAGACATCGAGGGAGAGGACGAGCGCCTAGGGAAGACGGCTCTCGGAGACATCGCTGGCGCGGGCGCGGAGCTCCGTGAGGCGGGCGGCGCCGCCAGGCTCATGGCGCTGCCTGCGTCTCGGTGGCGCTTCTGCAGCTAACCGAAGACATTTCAGTAATTAATGAACAACACAGGAGCCTGGAAAAAGCATTGGATTTTAACACATTATTGTGCTCATACGCCGGTTAATGAAGGCAGCCATGTATCAGGCCGCCAGCAAAAGCAAGAAGTTTCAGGTATTTTGATGTTAAGTAATCATGTTTTCCATCTACCTAAAATATTTCTGAGTATTCATGTCACGTCACCAAGAGTTTCCGTTTCATAAGCACCGTGAGGATTAGCTCAGAACTTGCTGAGCTAATTGGTGATTGCTCTGCAAAACAATTAAAACTTTACTGGATACAGTGGGAGTATGCCAAGACTGGGCTTCAGCTCTTGAATTACAGGAAAGTTACTGAACATCCGTTCCTGAGGAGCCTCACTCTGCATCCAAGTAAGACAATACATGAGGAAGAAAACATGTAAACAGTAGTAACAATTCTTGAAACAAGAGTGGGGCAAAACTAACCACTGCCATACCCTTCAGCTTATTGCATTTATCAGGAGCAGTGTATAATTATAACGGAAAGAGAGAATAAATTAATTAGCTTTCAGTTAAACCATACCTGGGAAAAAACAATGATTTTTTTGAAGGAAAGCAGTCTGAAGACAGGAAAAGAAGAATTCTTTGCAAAGTCAGGATTTGCTTCTTGGAACTGAAATAGTTGTTGTTTGAACAACTCCCATTAGAACATACACCGTTTTTTCTTTAGAAGGAAAAAATCCAATCTATAAAACACTGAAATGAAGTGTTGTATAAGCTTGCACTTGGAATAAAAATAAGTGAGAAACGAGACTTCTTTCAGAACAGGAGTATTTTTTATTCTCAAGACCAAGAATTTCAGTGCTGGACTGGAACATAGGATATACAGTAATTCTGTAAAACTTTATTGTACAAGTGCTTGAAATCCCACCACGATTTTGAAATTCACAAGTAACATACTGGACACCTTCTTTTACAATTTCAAAGCAATTAGGTTTTTCATTGCCATGAGCATTTGCAGTCACTATGCTGGCATGAAAGCTGGTCAGGCTATTGTGCAAGACAAAATTTTGGGTATGTTTGTTAGTCACTTTATGTGGGCTGAAAAAATACACAGTTCAGTAAAAAGTATGCCAATCTTGCCACAGTTGTTTTGATCTAGGATACCCAACTGCTTACAAAGACAAGAAGAAACACAAATACAGTTTAGAAACTACGGTATTTGTAAAAAACACAAAGAATCTTGAGTATCTCAATTTGTAGATCTGTGCAGCCAGGTAAGCATTTTCTAAGAGGAAGACTGAAGGATAAAACTCCTTGTTGCACACACTCGGGGTTTGAGGAGAGGCTGTAATTAAAAACAAGCCCACTGATGTAAGGCTGTATTCCTTGGTGATTAATTTATGTGTTAATTACCTTCTGCAAAAACCCAGTCACACAGGTAAGACCACACAGCACATTGTTTACACATACATGCAAAAATACAGGTTCAGAGCTGAACCTAGAGGGACTGCACAGAGAGACTGAGGTGATAATCATCTAAAACTTCTCTTCTGTCTGGAGTATGCCTTCTTTTCTTTAAGAATATCAAAAGGCCACTTTCCTTGATAGTTCTTATGGTAACTCAGATTGAGGGATTCTCCCATCATTTTTGTCCTGATTTCTGCCTCCCTCCAAGTTGCTTCAGCTTCCAGCCATTAATTCTTATTTCATTCATCTCAATTTCTCTGAGAGGGGAACATGTTAGACTAATCTTAGACTAACAGTTTTTCTCCAGCATGTCTGTAGCATCGTAGACAAGACCCTTTTCAGTTGTCCATTGGTAGGTGAGAGCAAAACCAGTGCACAGACTGTACACAGCAGAGGTGCTTTAGCAGCCCTGAGGCCTGCAACAGACACAGGACTGAGCAAGTAATTTACTTTAATGGTTGCAACACGTTGCTGCAGATTTAGGATGGCCTGTCTACCTTAGGTTGGTAGCTTACTTCTGTCGTGCCCTGCATCCATCCTGTTTGGAACCCAAAAGGCGGGCAGAAGGGAATATTCCTCTCCCAGATTCTCTTCCCAACATTTGGAAAATCTACTTGGCCACACCTGTGAAATCTTGCTGGGAAACACACGAATGCACGTACAGATGTTGCCACTTAATCTCCTTATTCCAGGCACAGGTATGTTCCCTTTTCCCTATCCATTTTTTGGAAACTTTGTAGGAAAGAAGCAGAACAGTGGTTCTCCACAGGCTATGCAGATACTGTCTGAGGGACCAGGAGCCAGTTTCTCAAAGACTAAAACTCAGACCACTGTCAAAAGTAGCCTGCACCTGGGTCTCTCCTACAGAAATAAAACCTATTAAGTGTGCAGACTGTGAATCTTCCAAAGAAAACATCAGTCATGTTATTGCTAGCACTTTATGAACACCAGTTGATCCTCAAACTTGCGCTAATCTTCTTCTGTTATTGATACAATGCCCAGAATTGTCACTGAGAAAAAATGAGAAACCTGGATGTGCAGTGAGAGGTCATTTATTTAGATTGTGGAGATCTGGACAAGTACTTCTCTTACAAAGAACAATTTAACAAGTATTCAGCACAACAAGTATAAAAAATTGGCCCGTCTCTTTATAAGAAAGAGAGGTTTCTCCTTTGAAATGAATACAAACCAGAACCTGAGAGAAAGGCACTGAAAAGGCAGAGAGAGAACAAGGCATAGCACTGGCTGCCATATTTTCTCAGAATGATGAAAATACCGAGGCACCTTCCAGTAGATGAGATTGAAGGCTTTGAAATGAAGAGGTGCCAAATTTTCAAATTCTCTCAGTGTTCCCATGGCATCTGGTGCTATTTACTTCATCCACTAAAGCTCTTGGAATTAAAAGGCTGATAAAATGGGAATGTCAATTTTACAAATAGGAAGGTGGGTGTATGACCATCAGGACTGCAGCATGAACAATAAGAGTTGAAAAACCAGCAGGGCTACAATGGTCAGAGTGAGGTATGTTAATACATTTCCAACAGTGAAGAGCAGAGGTAGTACTACCATGACCACACTAAACTGGAAATGGCTTTCCTGATGTTGTTCCTTTAAATTAAGGCAGAAGTTAAAACTTTCTTTCAAATCACTAACAAAAATTTGCAGTAACTGTAATCAGAGCACCTTTTCCAAACAAAATGTCTTTATAAGCAATAGAGTAATATGGCTACACTGGTGGGTTTTTTAATATTAAAAAATATTTCAGAACAGACAAATTGCAGTTGTAAAAAACTGTACAAATACTATCAATGCTTCTAACAATTATAGTAAGTAAAAAAGTTAAAGTAAATAAAGATATGAAAAAGATACAAAGAGAAAATTTACTGGCTTATGAAAATACTTGCACATACAAATCTATTGCCAGCATAATATCCCCAAGAAAATATAAAAATATATATATAGAATTTATGCAAATATGCTTTGGAAAGTATGTATTTTAATACATTTTATCTGGCCTTGAAGAGGATACTAACAATTTATACTTTGAATGAGAATTCATTTTGCTGTACTTGCTCTCTGAATGCCAAGTTCATTAACAGCTGCTGCATGGACAGGAAGTCCTGTTACTTGCTGATGAAGAGTGATGCCCTTAAACACGTGTACCCCTAACAGCATGATCCAGAAGGTAGGCAGAGCACACTGACCTAAAGCAACACTAATGGGACATTAATATGCCTCATCCTGTACCTCTATTCCTTTAAGGCCAGGTATAGATTTGTTGCATCACCTCTGAAGAAGGCAATACAAAAACCAAACCCAAGTCCCCCTCCCCCAGCTGGTTAAATAAGAAGTTATTTTTCCTTTTTTGTTAGGCAAAATTCAAGATGATTCTTGGTATAATTGACAGCATTTGGAAATACAATACAAAAATACTTATTAAACTAGTTCCTGAATTGCTGAAAATATTCAATACAATTGGGCAGTGCATCAAACCCCACACAGAACAGCTCAGCTCTTTCTGATATCATTAAGATGTCACATATAAATAAAATGCAAAATTGTTAACAGCATTTCTGTGCAGTTTCCCCAAGATATTTGGAAACTGCTTTCTCTGGCAGGCTTTGCTAATTTGCAAATGAAGTATTTTCAAATAAAGTATTTGTATTTAAGAGGCCAGGATTTGCACTAATGAAAGCAGAATGTTAGCAGCAGTTTCCTAACTTATCTCATAACTTCAATTACAATTGGATCTGCATACAAAACCTATCAGTAATGTACAACATCCAAACATATGACAGTGATTAAGTAATCCCCATAAGCGTACTGTTCAAAGAGTAAATAAATAGGTTAAAATACACATATTGATTTTTAAACTAGAAAATAGTATCCATGAAGTGAAGGCATTACTAAGTTTCTACATTCCAATTCATAACTTTATCATAGTCCTGAATTCGTTGTTTTATGTGAGAAAGCTTATTCTTCAGATATTCACAACGCTCCTTTTTCTCTAGAAATGAAGGATCCTGCCAAAAATACAAAAACCTTTACATTAATATATTAGGCTTTCAGA